AATTTTAGTTTACACGTACATATACCTCTTAACACTTGTTTGCTTTATTAAAAAAGTGTGTTGTTGTGATTTACGTCGAAATAAGTCAAAAACAACTTGAAACCCCATATAAAATCAATGAACACAACTCAGAAACAAAAATAGCTATCTAATAATAAAAAAATAAAATTTGATTCTTGTGCAGCTTCATCTATATCATTAACTGATTTTGGTTTTTTAATGGTTTTTCTTGGTGATGAAAATTCCGAGATCTCACGGTTATCGATTCTTTTTTTCTCTCCAGAAATGCGGACGACAGTGTTTTTAGATACTCCTGTGGCTGCAGCAACACGATCATTTACATTTTTAAATGGTATTGAAGGTGAATTAAAGTTTCCTTCTCTTCTCATAAACTCTATAACATTGACTATTATTTAGCGAGATTGACTGTTAATCACGCGGCCTCTTAATTTGCTATTAAACTCCATACTTAGGTTCTATTAAACTGTAATGAGCAAAAAACATAAATGAAAATAAAAGAAATGTTTTAGCGAAATTTACATCTGACATTTACGTCTGAATGAAATAGTGAAATACTTGATGCGCAGAGTGTACTTTCATTGCGTAAATCCGTCGGGATGCCTGTCAGTAGTGCTTTCTCTGTCTAGCCGTCGAAAGCCTCTAGAAATTTGATGAACTGTAGTTAGATATCTAGACCAAAATAATATATTGGACATAAATCAATTCAGTTTTTAACATAACAAAAACGTATCGGATGCTGTTTCTTCTTGTTTGGAATTAGCTTATAGAAGTTTAAATTTAAAAGAGGTCGTAGCTACAGTATTTTATGAGCTGACTGAAGCTTTTCACTGTGACAACTACGGAGTAATGCTGCGAAAGCTTAAAGTTTATGGCATAAGAGATGTGGCCTTGAGTTGGATGAAATCCTACCTTTTAGGTCGCAAACAGTTAGTCCGAACTGTTTCAGACTCGAACACAAGTGACATAAAATGGGGTGTTCTTCAAGGTTCTGTTCTTGGGCCCACCCTGTTTTTAATTTATATTAATGATTTAGGTAAGTTAAATATCTCAGGAAGCTTCACTCTATTTGCTGACTACTATCTTGTGGCATAATAAAGACGTCAATATTCTTTATGCAAATATTAGTAATGACCTAAAATCCTTTAAAACATGGTGCACTGTAAATTTTCTGTCATTAAATAAAAAAAAAAACAAAAATACTAACCGTTAAATGTAATATTCCTGATAGTTTAATAGATATCGATACTGTAGAAGCCACAAACTGTACAAAATTTTTGGGTTTAAATATCGACATGGATTTTAAATTCAAATCTCATGTGGATCCACTTTTAAAAAAGCTCGCATCGGGTAGTTATGCCATTAGAACCACCTCTCATAAATTAGGAGTTTGTGCAGCAAAAACTGCATATTATGCGTTAGTTGGCTCCCATTTACGTTATGCTGTTCAGTTTTGGGGAGTCTGTTCTGCCGAGTTATTTGAGTCTTTATAATGCAGAAACGGGCATTAAGGTTCTTATGTGGAGCACACAGATTAGTTTCAAGCAGACCGCTGTTCTTAAAACAAGAATTAATAACATTAACATCTTTATTTATCTTAGACACTTATTGCATGATCCATAAGAAATAATTCAATCTAGTTTATTGCAATTAAACCCAAAATTTTTTGAATTATTAGTTATATTAAATTTATCTAAATAAAATATAATTTAACTAGATTAGATGTAATTTCACCAAATTAGATGTAATAATTTTCAATAAGTTACAAAACCTAATTAATATTAAGTTGGATTTAAAGTATTTGGTACTAGGTGTGGCAACAGAGCTTGCACGGACGTGCGTTTTCCACGTTGTTTATTATAAGCGGACAAGCGCTTTCACGAAAACTATTCATTAATAAAATTGTTTTTATCGCCGAAAAATCCTTTTGTTTATCTCATCTCTTCCCTCTCACAACATGGCCCTTCACTTCTCATCTCCAACTTGCCAGTATAGAGTGTAGAATCAATGTTGGCAGCATGAATATTATATTTTATCAATGAGTAGTTGTATCTTCTGTTATCTTTGTAACCAAATTGTTTGAAATTTATTTTGTGGATGCTGTGGTCACTGGTTGGATTGACGACAAAACAATAAGTTAGAGAATTTGCACTTGACGCTTGGTACATGCATCGTTTGAAACTAATTTTGTGGACGAATAAAATAAATTTTTAGTGTTCATGTATCATAAAGCATCCCAAACAAACCCAAAAGTGTGCATAATCGGGTCTTTATCGCACGTTGTGCCGATAAAGGTTGCTAGGTAACTAACCGCTTCAATAAATAATATTAAATTATGTCAGATTTTATTTTGAATTGTAAAATTAATCAAAATGTTTACAACTTTGCCTAAAAACAAGTAATATGATTAGAAAAAAGTCAACATATTCAGTGACAACTTAAAATTTTTTAACTTTATAACCTTTGCTCTCAACTCGTGATAAGATTCGCAAAATCGTTGCTCATGATTTAAAGGCTCGATTATGCATTAGTGTCATAATATACTATAATAAATTTTTTGTGAATTAATTGTGTTTAGTTTGATTTTGTTGTAAATAAAAGTATAATAACCCCTCAACCTATAAAAGAAAAGTTATAAAAGAACATAATTTTTTTTATTCATTATTTACGTAATAGGATAGGTAAGCTATAAAAATTTTATACGACAATAGACATACTGGGTGTACCAAAAGAAACTAATAAAATTAACAAAATCGCTAATATTAAATTTATTCATTTTTAGATTTTATTGTCTTATTTCACGGAGCTGCGACAACATTTTGTTTAATTTTGTTAAAAATTGAGAAAATTTTTAATTATTATTAGTTAGGTACTGAATTTGTATTTAAAGGGAATGAGCTTTTTAAATGCACCTTAAATATCGGAAGTCTCATTTTAAATGGGGCATATCGCACGAGGACGACGTTTAAGTACGAAGCCGTTCGATACGGATAATTCACTTGAGTTGTACAATATACGTAGAGCTCAAATGTGTCAAAATACTAATATACAGAGTGTAACAGCCAAATTACTGTGCATATTTATAAAAAATCCCGAAACTTGTCAATTTAAAAATATACAATCATATTTTACAAGGTGAATATTTCACCTACCATCAACCCTCTTCGAGTGATAGTTGCAACCGTTAAAGTTGTAAATAGGAAGTAAGGGTTTGTGATACCTAATTGGAAAGGTCTCTTTATTCTCTATTTAAAAATGATATGGCTGTCAAATATATTGCTCTATATATAAATTCATTGCTAATAAAGTTTCATGCTTGATAATGTAAAAAAAAAATAACAAAAAATTTATTGTAGGAGATACCTATTGAAAATATATACCTCGAACATCCTGATAGCAATCTAATAATAAATAAAATCAATATCTGAGGCGTGACCGACGTAATCGTTTGTATGGAATATTTTTCACATGTCCCCATGAGGCGAAATAATTGTCTTGGCCATTCTATCGATCCTTGCATTCCTATCCACTAATTGGAAATATTTGGTCGAGCGATATTGCCGGGCATTGTTTTTGTAATGTGATTGTGCTCCATACAGCTAGAACCATATCATATTCGCTGGAACATGTGGGTTTGCTTGACCAGAATATAAATTTGGCAAAGTTGGCATGACATTATTTTGGAGTTGTTTTAAATAATTATCTCCATTCAAATTGCCATCAATGAAAAATGAATCAATGAGATGCTTTCCAACTATCACTGTCCAAACATTAATAATTTCAGGGTATTGTGTATAATATTATTCTTTCGTCCAGTGAAGATTTTCGTAAAACCAGTAGCGACAATTTTAACTATTAATATGGCTTTAAAGTGTGAAAGTGCATTCATCAGAAAACACATGTTATAGTTGGATAATATTGTTATTTAACATTTCCATAATTTGCTTAAACAAATGCGTCATTTTATCAAAATCGTCTTCCATGAGTTGGTATCAATTTATAGGGATGCATTTTATTTTCTTTAAATATTCGAGTGATCGAAGTATTGCTAAAAATATCTAATATCGCGGCTGCTTGTCGACTCGACGTATGATGATTCTCTTTAAATTCAATCATTACGTTTAATTTGATATCGTTACTAAGTATTTTCAAAGGTTTTTTTACAGTAACATAAGTCAGTCTTTACAAAACTTATGGTTTGCAATAAAAAATTATGTACAAAAATGTAGTAGATATTCTCAAATCAATCCCCTCATTTGTTATTTTTTGTGTCATCGGCTTCAACTGCTAAGGTTATTTCGCCTCATGTTCTGTGTGGGCTTTGTTTCTGTTTTCCATCGCCACTTTAGGAACAACACTGTTAACTAGAACCCAACAATGAATGGTCGAGTGGGGAATCCTACTAAGGCATCAGAATTAATTTTAAATAATTAAATTAAATGAAAAAATCCGGCCGACGGTGGGATTCTAACCTGGGACCCTTGGATCCGCAGGTAGACTCTACCACTGAGCCACCCACCCCCTTTATTTCCTATTGTTTTTGAAATTGTAGATGATCGTCCTTATTTTTGAAATATTATTTGCATTTTTAAAGTAGCTTTGTGGCAACATAAAAAAAACAAACATATCGAAATTGAATAACAATTGACATCGCAGTTTGTGTGTTTCTATCATTTATGGCTTTGACCTGATCTTCGCAAAGCGAGTGAATTTAGAGAAAATAGTTTTGATCAAAATACCTTATGAAAGCGTTTTGTGTCTTAGATATGTAACGGCTCAGAGCTCTTTAGGCTGCCGTCTTATTGACTAAACTAGAACAAGGCCGCTTACAAAAATAAATTGTATAATAAATAATTCGCCAAACAGTAACTAGAGAATTTCTGAGACCAAGTTAGGACTGATGAATTATTTTCATTTTAATTTCCTCTGAAGTAATGTCTTTGATTCCGGCGACATTTGATATTTAATTTTACTATTTACAGAAATAGAATCAGAAAGAGAGTCACATGAGTACATACCTTCCCCCCCATGTGGAGGACTAGCAGCCTTTTATATACCAAAAATCAAATTCGAAACCCATTTCATAAAAATTTGCGAATTTCCCAAAGGTGCTTGCTTTAATATCGGAGAGAAATTTGTGCGAAGGCGCATTATCGCTTTAACTCCCCTGAATTGCCTTTTAATTCCTAAACAATTCATTGATATAAATAATATAGGATATATATTTGATGGGTAAGTAAATCATCCTTAAGATCGTAGCTTACATGGATGGCAAATATTCACTATCGACAAGTTGAGATTTTTTTATATACGAGCCTTAACAACTTAATGGTGATACCATTTTTCATAAATATTTAATCATTTTTTAGAATTGGTATTTACAGTTATTAGGTCTTGTTACACAATGTTGTTTGCTTAAATTATTAATTTAAAAACTAGTTGCATAGATTTAAAAACAAATTATAAATAAACAAATTTAGATTGATAACGTAATATTCGAACGGTTACAGATTACATTTAGATCAATAGCTTTTATGACAGCTTTCATTCTAGCCGGCATGGATTCCAGAAGCAATCTTCAATAATCCGGTGTAACAGATCAAGTAGCTTCAAGTTTGTCACACTCTTTTCAAACATACACCCCCATATCATCATCACCTTTGCAAATTTTTTGATCTTTTTTAAACAGTATTTATCAAAATATATAGTTTTATCCCGTTTTCTACGATGATTTGCAGAGGCGTTGAGTTTTGATTTATAGCGAAAAAGATTTTAATCTAGTCTTATAGTACAGAATAGTGGAATTTGGACTCAGTCCAAATTGACATCATCCGAACATTAAATTGTTAGGGCACGTAGTTGTGCTGCAGCTCTTTTACGAAATAGCGCCTAAACAAAAAAGAGCTAAGTGAACCTATCCCAACTCCGCACTCCTAAAAATTAGCGAAGTCCCAATCTTTTTCTTTTCTTTATTTTTTACTATAGAAACAAAACCAAATTTATGATGGTTAAATAGAAACTGTCAGATCACGCAGGATTCTGTATGTAGCTGAAAAGCCTAAGAAAAAAGGCAGTTTCCCAAGTTTCTATTCCCCTGGGTCGTCATCGTCTATTATTGTTTCCGCCAATTCGTTAACCCAGCTGAGCAGGTCATTGTCCGTATAGTCTGTCAGGTGGTAGATAGTAAAGTCCTTTTTCGTATAGTCTACGTCTAAGTGTTGGCCTGGCCGCTTGTCTATGGTTCCCAGTGCAGTCAGAAATAATGTGATTCGTATCTTCTATCGCGTTGTTTATGTCACAGGTACCGTCTATTGTTATGTATGTTAAACCTGTATATGTAGGCGTTTTTGTTTATAGCGTGTCCCGTCAGTATTTGTATGATTTTTTGTTTAGTCTAGGTGTTTGTGTCTTACTGTCTATTCTAGGTTGTCCGGCATTTTTTTTGCATTGCTCCATATATCTTGGCATATGGTCATTGCCTTGTCGTGTCTTTTTTTGCGTATTGAGGTTTTGTCGCTGTATTATATTGTCACTGTCGGGTATTCGTGAGCTTTGTTTGCTAGTCAATGAGTTTTTTTATTCCTACAGTCATTAACGTGTTTGAAAGTAATATTTATGTCTTAGAATGTCGCTAAGTGTGTATGTTCCTGAATTTGTGTTATAATTTTTTGTCTTGTGTTGCTTTTTCTAGGGGTGTTTTTTGTGTTTGTCGAGTCAGTATATATTTGTATGGTTTTTTCCTGAAGATAGTGAGGTTATTTGTTATGTGCTTTATTACTTGTGCTTTATTTAGGAGTTCCAGTGTGTTTATATTTTTATCTCTGTTTATTTTTGTTTTGATGTCAGTGTAGATGTGGTCATTGTATATGGATATTGCCGTTGTTTTAGAGTTTTCTCTAATGCTAAAGTCTCTGTGTATTGTCGTGTCTATTGTGTGGCCGCTATGTCCTATCTGAAGATTTCAGTATGCTGGGTGTGCATTCTCTGTAGTATTTGTTCTGTTGTTGTCTATTTCGTCATGTAGTGTCGTCTGTGTAAAGTGGCTGGTACCTGCGACTTCTGCCAGTGGTGGGACTACTGCTAGAACGGGGAGTATCAAGTTAGGTGGCGTCTTGTACGCTTTTGTTATTCGTAGCAGAAATGGTCTTTCCGTCGCATGTAAATGTCTCGTTATTCCAGTGTTTTTGAGTCTCTCCATATTTCCGACCCGTACAATACCACATGTTTTATTCTCTATTCGTACATGTAACGTAGTGTGCGCCCCCAATTTCGTTCTGTTATAGCGTATTATTTGTTAGCGATGTCGGTTGCCTTTTTCTTGTCCGTTTTGTGTTCTATCCATGTCATTTTATTGTCTATTGTAAGTCCTATATACGTTATGTGTTCATTTATTTCTAGTGTTCAGTCTCTGTCTTTGAGTCTTGGTGGTCTTTTGTTGTTGTTGTGTGGTATGAACATTATCTCGGTTTTCGTCGTGTGGTATGTCAGTTTGTTTTGTGTTGCCCAGTTTTCGTATTTTTCCCATATTTGTTTCCATTTATTTTTCAGCTGTTTTAATGATGTCCCTCCCATTAATATTATTATTTAATCGTCCGCGTAAGCTTGGTAAAGGCCAATGTCAGTTGTTATTATCTCCGTCATGTCAAACCAGTCTTCCATAATTAACAGCCATGGTATGGGTCCCAGACTGGATCCTTGAGGGCATACTCTGTCAGTTTCGTTTGTTATGTCTTCAGTCCGTATCTGTCTGTGAAAAAGTTCATACAAATCGTTGCCAGTTTGTGTGGTACGTTTCGTCTTTGTAGCATTTCTGCGATTTTTGGAATCCGTGCTATGTTAAATGCATTTTTAAAGTCAAGTATTATTGTCAGTGTGTGTGTTTTGTTCTTAAGGTTGTCATTAATTTTGTTTGTTATGTGTGTAATGGCGTCTACTGTAGTTCTCGCTTCCTTGAAACTGTATGGTTTGTCGTATTTGTAGCGTCTCTTTGTTTATACCGTCTTGTGCAGTCGTTTTGTTTGGTTTCATGTAGTTTAGTGTGTTCGTAATTTCTTTCTTTGTTATCTCTGACTCCGGTTCCTGGTTTTCAAGTTTTTCTGTGTTTTGTGTGAGAGTCTGTTGTTCCTGTTTGTCTTCTTCTGCGTTGTCAGTGGGAAAATATTTAATTGTGTAGGTATTTTATTGTGTCTCTTTTGTCTTTTGTTCATGTGTCGTCTTCTGTCTTTAGTGCCGTAAGGATGTTAGGGTGATTTTGTTTACTTTTGGTTATCCTATAGGCTCCTTTCCATGGATTATTGGGTGAGTACTTGTGGTAGTAATTGTCATTTGTTTTTTTAATTTTTATTTTTTAGCTTCGATTTTGTCTTATATAAGCGTCTTGTTTAATATTCCGTACTTGTCCGTTTTGTCCTACTGGTATATTTTGAGTACATTTTTGTGCCTTGTCTTGCTTTGTCAAGCTCTGCTGTCCATCACGTCTGTGTTGATTTTTTTTAGGCGCTTTGATTTTCATGCTGTTAAGCAGGGATTGCTGAATTTTTATTTGTATTTATTTCGCGAATTCGTGCGTATTGTCGTCAACGTTCGTCCAGTTCGTACTTTCTATTTCTCTTTGTAGTTTATTGCTGTCTACTCTCTGTATGTTGAGTTTGGTTTTGCCTGTTTTCGTGTGTTGATGTTTTACTTTGTCAGTGTTAAATGTTATGTATTGATGGTCGCTTAATATGTCAGCTTTAAAAATTTATGTTGTTCTCCGACACTACCCGTCACGGCATCCCGACAAAGGATGATGGATATTGCGGTCACTGACACTGCTTTATATTTTTTCAAATTTGATCAAAAGTGGAAATTTTGTTATTGTGTTAAGTATATTATTCCAAGGTGTCAATTTTGTTTGACTCTACGTATAAATAGCAAATACTCACGTAGTTTTTAAACACCAAACACCAATTATTGGCCTGCTTCGTTTATTGCCACTGGCGCGGCGATATTATGATACAGACACGTTCTCGCGCATGTTTTGGGCCCTCATCTGCGGTCACTTGTGTGTATACGATATTTTCGCAACTGTGCGTGGCCTAAAACTTTGATCCGGAGTGCTAGGGCTCGTCTAACTACACTTCGATTATAATCAAATTTTATCGATATATTTGAATGTTTATAAGGACACGTCAGTCTCGGCCTAGGTCCAAAGTAAAAGTAAGGTCCAAAGCAGAAGTCAATACGGTGCCTGATGCTATCGGGATGCTTCGCAAACATTTTATACTCATAATTATATATTTTTATCTTCATTATATATTTATATCTAATTTACCCAACCTGTGCGGCCTGGAGCAGTCGTAGGTTGCTTTTTAAAAAAGTTAAACATAGAATATTTAAAAATGTAACTGATTTACCCAACTTAAGCCATTTAAATTTAACCAATCTCTCACGCATATATTGGGTGAATTATTGATATTTTTTTCTTTTCTCATTTTATGTACATTTTTTTTTTCGAAGCAATTCTCACAGGCTCCATGTCGCACAGGTAAGGTGAGTTAGTTAAGTTTATTCATTTTCTGTACAATTTTTTTGCGGAGTAGCCCATGCTCCAAGCGCTGTTTCGTTCGGGCGCTGTTTTGACCAGCACTATTTTAGTTAACACTATTTTGTTTAGGCTTTGTTTCGAATGGCAATATTTTGAGAAAGTATTGTTTTGTTGGGCGCTATTTTCTTCAGGCGCTATTTTGAAACACGCCATTTTGATTAGACGCTTAAACAATAGCGCCATTTTAATCCGCAATATTTAGTTCGGTGCTATTTCGTGACAGCCTTGTGCTCATATGTAATATTATTGTACTAATAACTAATAGCCAGCTCGCCGTCAATATACAGTCAATGGAGGAAATACAAAGTTATCCTTTTTCCATGAAGCAGCCAGACATCAGAGTTGGGTCAGATACAAAAAAAGTATCCTAGTAGCAGAGACGGATACTTACAATGTACCTGGCAGAGCTGGGTCGGATACAGAAAGAAGTAACCGAGTCCGGAATACGGATACTTACAACGTACCCAGTTACTTTTAATAAAATACGGTACATTTACCTAAACATATATTTGAATGTAATCATCCGGATGCTTTTTTCGGATACTTCAAAGGATACTTTTAAAGAGAGTTAAAATGTTTTATGCCACTTGTCATAATTTATAAATACAATATAATTGAATACAAGTATAACAATACCTAGGCATGC